CAGTTCTTTCATGTTAGTATTCACGTGCAGGAATGGACTTGCTGTCCTTTGGATTGGAAAACGTTGGTATCTGATAGTAGAGGCTCTGAATGACAAGATGAACACATCCCTGTGTATCTGGGTTGCATTCCAATTTTTGCCAGTATAAGTGCTTGTCACTTACACTGGCAACACCTTCACAGAATGGGCCATTTAAAAAGCATCCTTTATGTGATTCTGACACATATTCCTACCTCTTGTATTCATTGCCATTACCACCTTATACCTCTGATTCAATTTCCCTTTTTATTATTACACTTGCAATTATAAAGCAGTGACAGGCATATCTCCAAATACTCAGAGGTCAGCTTCAGTTCAAATAAGCATCCAAAAGTGTAGATAGTCATCTGAAGTAAACTAGGTACATATTTAAGGCAGTTTCTGCAACTCATTCTCCTTACTGGTTTCAGATTCTTGATGGTAAAATAAATTTCAGGGCTTAAAACTGAATTGCCGAGGTTTAATTTATTTTAGGACATATCAAACAAAGAAGAAACTAAAAATTCAGGCCACCTTGCATAGAAAATATGTTGAGATATTATTTTCTCTTCCTTTCTTCCACTGGTTCATGGACTATACTATTCTGGGATATCTATCTAAGTCTTCCTACTGATGTGAAACTAGAAGAAGCAAAGCTAACCAAATTGTTTTATTACCATAAGACAAAAGAAACAGATAAAATAGCATAAACAAAAAGATATAGTAATGTCTGGAAAACTAAAGGAGAGTATTTAAAATTGCCTGAAATACTGAATAAGTCTCCTCCAGAAGAAATCATAGAAAGTTTTTTAGATTTTTTTTTTTATCATAAATGACAAGTAAAACAACAAATCTAAACAAAAAAAAAATCTTCAATAGAAAACCTTCCAGTTGCCTTATTTAGGCCAGATAGATTAAAAAATATTTATGTTGGAAGTCCTGCAGGAAACTGACTTTGAAATCAATAGGTAACTTTAAAGATGTTTCTCATACAGTATTAATTTTGGTATATATTTGGTAGAGAGTCTACTGCTAGCATAAATCATATAAGTTGTAGTTTTCATATGTATTTCCTCTGAAATTAATTCTCAAATATTTGTAAGGGCCACATACTTTGCACCAAGCTGTTTATGGTATGTAAGCATTTCTAAGTTCCTTTTAGGAAAGTTATTTGGGTCAGATCTTAAACACAACCAGTATGGACAAAGTGCTGTGAGTCAGGGCATAATGGAAAAAGATTAAATATCCTTTTTTCACTGCCTCGTTGCTTATAATGATCTGAGCGTGACCATATTCTTTGTAAGGCAGTCTGCCTTGAGGGCACTGCCAACATATCCTGTTCTCTGATAGTGATCTGAAGCAGAAAGTTCAACACAGACTGGTGTGGCAAAGCAAAGAGGGATCAGTTTTCAGCCTGGACACAGTCCCTCTTGTAGTTATATTAGTTCAGGAACAGTAAGCAGTTTCTAAACTCCTGCCAAGGACATCAGCTCTTGCTGCATCAGTGTTCTTGCCTAAGCCAGCTTAAAAGGGTGTAGAATGAGATGACAGAGGCAGTACTGTGCAGGTGCAGCACTCACTGTGTCTGTCACTTAGGTACCACTACCTTCCTTCATCGCTGCTTTTGTTTGAAGTAACTGACTCCTCTCCCATATGGAAACTCATTCTTTCACCACTGTATACTGCTTCCATATCCATTCCTTAGCCTACCTCATCCACTTCATAAACATGTGCAACTTCAAACACTCAGTTTTCTTGCCCTCTTTACAACAGGTAGTCAAACTCTATAAATAGGATGAAGAAAGTAGGATGATATAACTGTGGGCTAGGCAATCTTCCTGGCAATCTTGGCTCAAATACAGTCAAGGTATATTGACTTAATAGACTTTTATCAGCTGAACTATGCTCCTCTGTGCATGTCTGCTGTAAGGCAATGCAGTTTATCATACATTTGAGCACAAGAGGATGCCTTGCATGACCTCACACTGACAGTTACAGTAGCTTGGCTGACGTGCTGTGTGCTGTTTTATTGCTGTAAGTTAGGGGTAGGGCATAGCCCTCTGACAGTGAAATGTAGAAGGCTTGAAGGGAAGATTTAGCACACTCTCTTACAGACTGTCTTAATGGGAACAAAAGCTAGAATCAGTCACAACCCCGCACCCCCATACCTCATCCCCACACACACAGGCACACCATCTAGCTCTTCAGATGTAGAAGACAGCCGGGGTACAGGCTAGACAGATGATCTCCCTCCAACCAGAATAATTTTACTGGGGCCACATGGATGAAAAATGTTAATGTACACAGTAATTCACATAAAAGCTTATATAGAGCATGTCTTCTTTAAGTTCCAGCTCTGGATAAGGATGTAGGAGCTCATATCTTTACTTGATTCAAGTTACTTGGTGCTTTGAAGGAGGCAGAGGAGAGAAGAAAAAAGAAATTTTGGCAGACAAAAATGAAACACAATGGAATAATTAAATTCCAGTCTTTGTTCTCAAGGACTTCTTTTGAGCTTATTTAATGAAACTGAACTACATTCTTCTCCTTTACGTGGTTGTTAATGCTGCTTTCAGGTAGGAGAGGGAAGGAGGTAGTATAATTGAAGATTTAATTTTGAACTGTATCATAAACCAGCTTTCATAAAACTCAACAACAGTAAAGCGGTTCATTACATTTCAGAGTGTCTGATGTAAATAAGATCCCTGAGTGTGTGCAATCAATCTTTCCAAAGGCCAAAATATTTTGCTGTTCCCAAGCTTGGTTTCCTTGTTTAGACTGAATAAGGTCAGCCCACATGCATTTAGAAACCAACTTGAATTTTAATTTTATTCTAGTGGCTAATTGTGTCTGCTATGGTTATGTGCCTCTAATTCCCACAAAGAAGCCTCTCAGCTTTTGCAGAAAGACTCTATGGAGATTTTCTGTGGTTATTGACCAAATCAGAAATGTGCAGTCAAGTAAGTCAGAGTTACTATAATCAGTGTATCAGAGGCAGAATTTATGCAGGGAGGAGGAAAGGTAGGTCCTGCAAACTTTTCTGCAGGAGAAAGGCGTTCTATAAGTGGGAGATGTCTGTAGGCTAGCTCCTTTTATTTGAACATAGTTACTTACAGCCCGCTTTGTTCAACTTCCATTGTCATTTACCACTTACTTCACAACTCTGTGAAAAGAGTTGTCTTAGTCTGTAAAGCAAAAGTTATAAGGATAGAAGCAGGGGAAATTAACTATTTTACATTCTCTTTATTTTAATGTTGCAACATTTAATGTATGATATGAGAGGGAATTTTTCAGTGGTACTGAAAACCTACCTCCTTTCATGATCCATTTATTAGACTTCTGTGTCCGTGCCAATCAATTTCTATCTCACCCTGCTTAAAAAAAAGACACCTAAATATTAGAACAAGGCTCCATGATGTCTTCTGACCAGAGCTTCCACGGACCTTGGTGTGAGTTCAGCGTGTGGGAATCTTCATTTTTAATTCTTCTTACTTAGTTTAGAAAAAAATAAAAATAACATCAGAGACACTTTCAAAGTTATGGCTGAGTGTGTCCTAAGTTTGAGTGTTGAGCATGGAGCAGAAGTGACAGAACAGTTGGTCAGTGGAGAACATTACATAGAGCTATTTAAAGGTCGTCCTCGACCTTTCCACCTCTTTTAAAGCCCCTTGAGAGCAATTCAAACTTTTCTTCTGCCAGTTGCCTACTGTCAGTTCCATATTTGTGTTTGTTCTCTCCATGCTATGAATGTAAGGTATCAGAGCACATTATGGGGAGTTCTTCCAAATCCTCTGTTAAACTCTTGTCTGAGAAAGAGCCCTTAGATTCAGCCAGGTCAACCTTGGCAGTTAAAGTTCACAGCAAGACTTTTGTTTCCTTGATCTCCTCTCAAGTCAACTTTTTACAGATAGTGGATTGAAATCTGACCTGAATGAAGACAATGGAAGTTTTATTATTGACACCGATGAGTCCAAGATTTTAAGTACTTCTTATATATTAATTTTCTTCTGAGATACATACGTGTGTACGTATATGTCTGTGTCTATGCACATAGGCATAGGTATCTAATACTGGTAAATTACACGTTGTAAGGCTAAATTTTTAGATTGTTTGTGAGCTCATTTCTCATATCAAAAATGCTCTACCAACATGACTTTTGTCCATTTATGAAGTGGTATAAAAGTGCTATTTTCAACACAACCTTCAGGGAAAAATTAAGTACTGCAGGTGCTTACACATGCAGACTTTCTCATTGCTCAAACCTCCTGTATAATGCCCAAAAAGTTGCACAAATGGGTACTACCACAAAGACACTGTTAAATTGTTGGAAAGTCACTTACTGTATATTGAAGAATCCTACAGAATTCCTGATCTCTAACCATAAACATAAAATACAGAAGTGGTGCAAGAAGTAGGTTACTAGAGGAAGCTTCATTCTTTGATCTCTTTTGTCTTATTCTTAACTTCAATATTTTTGTTTGAAAAGAAGCATAAAAGCATAAGTCAATGTTGTGCTCACAGATCAGGAAAAGCCCGCAACAGGTTCGTGTAGGCTGTCACTGCTTACTCCTGGCTAGTTTGGAGGTGTTATTGTATGTATTTCTGTACCAAAATTGGTGTAATATGTGAAACGTCAGCTTTTGTTTCATGTCCAATGACGTGTCATCATTTAATACAAAGATAGAAAGTAAGAGCACAGCTGCTCTGAAGCAATTTGAAAGGAGTTTCGCAAATTCATCATGGGCAGAATAGCACTTTATTATTGCAAAATCTCCCCTCGCCAGTTGCTACTGTAACCATCATTCTCTTGTAGTCTGAGCACAGTAAATAAATACAATGATGACTGGGAATAGTTTTGGATATTCGTTGATGCCTTTATGGCAACTGTACCTATCTCTCAACTATTCTGTTTCAAAATACCTCTTCTAGCAATGCAAAGTGCTAACTGAGAAAATTTTTTTTCTTTATTCCTTCCTTCGAAGACAAAGACAGGGATTTGTTTGCTGCAGGATGGTAACCAGGAGCCTTTCAAAGTGCGACTGCACTTAGCCAAAGATATTTTGATGATCCAGGAGCAGGATGTGATCTGTGTGTCTGGTGAGCCTTTCTATTCTGGTGTAAGTAGTTTTTATTTTTTCTTTAAGACATTCTTTATACAAAGCAAAATACTCTATGTGTGTGTGTGTATGTGTGCATGTACATACACATGTGCATGCGATTACTCCCATGGTTTGATGTTTTGTTTTACACTGTAAACACTAAGTGTATTTTAATATATTTTCTTTTGAGAGTAAATCTTAGCAATACTCGTCTAAGAAGCAGCAATAAGATAATGAATGTTATATGCATGACTAAACATTTCTCTGCACTCACTCTTGAATATTGGAACCACTGAATGTGATAGGAATGACACGAGCAGTGATTTTTGTGGTGAATACAGATACCTCAATGTGCTTACATATCTGAGTATTGTCTGTGGAGTTGATAAGACAGTTGATGGTTAATTGTTATGTCGGGGTTTTGCTCGTAGAGGAATTACCTGCTATCCTCTGTTGCTTTGGTTGCTTCATATGGTAGCAAACCACCAAACTTCATGCATGTTGCCAGTCCGTGCTGTGAGGATCACTAGTTTTACCAGTACATCATGTTGATAAAGATGGACTTCAGCTGGAACAGTGTAATAGTGTGATTTATGTATTACTATTTTTACATGATATGTCAGATTTCTTATTTAAGCATCATATTCAATTTTGTGGGTAAAAAACTGACCTTTGTAGATAATTATTTGGAAGATCTATGAAATGTTATATAGAATAATATTGTAGGTTTTTGAACTATTGTAATGCTAAGTTTTTATTTAATTCTAGAAGACAGCTAAAAAAACTAGTAGCAACCATTTACTATTAATTTCTATAGACATTTTTATAGATACTGTAATTATATTTTGTTGAGATATTTTTAAGATTTATGGGAAACTATCATAAACATTCTGCTCTCCCTTTGAGCTAAATAAAATTATCATAAGATTCCACGTTAAATCTTGTGCAGTATAGTAGTGTAATAACTGTTTATGCAAATGTTATGTGACTGCTATTATGTCTGTCTGTTTTATTAATTAATTGCTGCTGTTGTCACATCCCTGTATCTCTAAATACAAGCATAATAAAAAGATACAAATCAGAAACCAGAAATAAATTGGTAGAACATTAGCAGTGCTAACAGTGTGGAATATTAATGGAAAATGTATAGGAAAATCCATCTCACTGTTATGAGCATCTCAAGGTGAATGGTTCTGAGTTTTCCCCTGAAACAGGAGGAACATCTTGCCTACTCTGTCTCCATACAGACTGTGTTTATTTGCATGACAAATCTGACATTAGCTTTTGACAGTTTCACGCTGTACAATTTACTAATACAGGTCTGTGTGCTGTATATGGAATATAGATGCTCCTTTTACCAATCAGTCTCTACCATTCCTCAACATAGAGTACATCTAGCATCCCAGATAGAAAGAAATTATGAGTTCAAGCTCAGGCTATAGTTGTTCAATTAGCAACACACACTGTGACACCGTTGCAGCACCAACTCCATTCTGGTGTTATTTTTTAAAAGATTTTATCACTCAAAAATATAGCTTTCATTATTTTGCTGTAATGTCTATTACTTCTGCTGAATTTAATATTTAAATGTCTTAATGAAATTTATACTTTTTTTTTTCCATTTCACAACAAGGCTTTCTTTTACAATTTTGCCCTCTTTATTTTTGCAACAGCACTGTAGAAAATTATGGATGATTTGCTTCACCAATTACAATCCTCCTATCTTATTTGCGTATTGAATGCGTAACTCATTAACTGATTGATATTAGTGTGGTGATGAGGAGTTTCTTTTATCTTGGAAGTGTCATTGTTAGGCTAGTGACTTTTGAGCACTTTACCCTGATTTCTTCTGGGATTAAGACTAAGTCTTGAATCAGTAGGTTCATTCCAACGAAGGATGATTGGCATTTCACGGACAGTTAACTGTCCTTTTGTCACAGGCCATTTAAATCATCTGGAATCATGTACTTTGATTGTATAGCATGATCAGACAAGTCCCACAGGCTGCCTTTCTTTTGCATTTTTTTCCTCATTTTTATTCTGAATTTATTAGATTTATTTTTTGTTTCATTGTGGGTTGTTTTTTTTTTACTTTGGTTGATTTTGTTTTGTTCTTTCTGTAATTCTAGATAACTGACCACATCTATTTTTCTTTTGCATGCATTCTACAGAGCAAGAGCAAGTGTTTTCATTAGCAATTGACATTGAATGCCTCATAGAATAAACTCCAAAGAATAAAAATAAAATTTGTAACTGAGGAAAAACAGCATTGTTAAGTTCTACAGACAAGTAGCTATAGTAAAAGTTCTTTTTAGTCTGTTTTAACAAATAATCTTCAAATAATTTGATTATAAGGTTTTACTTCTGCACTGTTAAGGAACGAAAGGCTATTACTGTGTTCCTAGTTCAGAACAGTGTCTCTTCTGTTTGTGGGATCTGAATCAATTCGCATGCTCCTCTGTGTAGGACAGACTTTAAACAGGCACTTAACGTTCCAGCGGTATCCTCATCTGCATCCTGGGGAATAATCTACATGAAATCAATGGCTGCTTAGGAATGAGGTACTGCTTAATGTGAGTACATGAGATAAGGCCCTGGTTTTTCATTTAGAGCACTTACTTCCTTTTTAGTGGAAAACAGTTCTAGTTTCCCAAAACTAAAGAGATGCAATGGAACCTTGTTTCTTCTCTCATTGTATACACTTTGGAGTAAGAACATGCATTAAAGATTATAAGCAACATAAACAGTGATAAACACTAAAAAAGAAAGCATCTGTTTCTTTAGTAGGCTGAACACAATGATAGTGTTAGTGAGGGTCCTGCAGCAGCTGTTTCTGTAGCAATTCCATAAAGCATCAAAGATCATTCGAACAGTCATGGGTTAGATATAATTTAAGCATCAGTTGCATCACTAAGTATTACAGAGATTTCTTTATGTGTGCAACAAGATAGACTTTCTTTCCAAGACATAGAAACACAGTGGGTTCTCCATTATGCTGATAGTGGATATCTGATGTAGGTTTGAACTCCAGTGCGAATGACCAAAAGTGAGATGAGAACATTTTGTGAAACTCAAAGCCTAGAAGGCAGTGTCTTGACTAATCCAAATTAAATCCTTGCCTGTAGAGAGCCTTTATAATATGGGAAGTGTATGCCTGAGTTGGAGTAGCCTATGTGCTGAAAATACCCATGAGTCTCCCTAAGGGAAAATTGGAAGATAAGACTAGTGACTGTTAGGTCAGGTACAATTTTTTCTCCCCTGAAGTACCAAACCCTCACAGAATGTTTTTTTCATAATTCTGGTATTGCCAACAGAGAGCTTTCTCACAATTATAATAATCATAAATCTCCATGACAGCTACTTGTTGTACAGAACAGTTAGTATTTTTACTCTTTTCATCTGGAAAAGAAATGCCCTGAAAATAGCTGAATTAAACGATGTAAGAACTTCATCAGTATTGATAGCAGAAGTATAGAAGATTTTTATTTTGCATTTCCTTTTAAAAATATTTCTTGAATTACATGAAATTATACTCTCAAAAGTTTGCTGTATGGTATTCCAGATGACAATGTGCAATAACGCAGCTCCCAGTCTTTTTAGATGTATAGGTCAATAGCCTGGACTAACAAGGATAGGCTAATACTGACCTTGCAGAAAATGATGATGAGAGGGGGAATAGCCTAAAATATGACATCTCTGATCTGAAATATGACTCTTCAGTGGATATATTCCTAGGAAAAGTGTTAATCTTTGCAATTCCAGAATCAAAATCTTTGTTTTAGAGTTAATTCTCATAATTTCTATCACCTTTCATAAACATCTCAAATTCAAGTAAAAAGATTATTGCGTTTTATCAAGAAAGGTAGTTTATTTGTCTAGGGACCTGTGTTTTTTTTCCTTCTTTTCTTTAATAGATTTTATTAGTTTGCTGATCATACTCAGAAATTTTTCTAATAGAGTTTACATGCATGTGAGATCCATAAACCCAGGCTATGACAAGGTACCATCTGACAAGATGAATGATTTGAATCAGCTACTGTTTACTGTTTTTCTAAAAGACTGAAAATAAACTGAGCAGCTGGCAAATTGTTACATTGAGCTACCAGGACAGTTTGCATTTTTACATAATTTTCTTATAGATTCTGTTAAAAAGTCATAGATTTTCTAAAATACTGCTAACTCACCTGATGGTAACTTTCAGATGATTCTCATTTCTTTCAAGTAATATAATTCTATGCTGCTGTGTAGTAATGGATTATTTAATTAACCATTAATAATTTCTTTTAGCATTTTTTTTAATTAAGCATCTTTTTTGGAGATTGATGTGAAGATCATTCATAATTTCAATACTAACAAAAACTGAATGCACATTTTGTGAATTTGTAGAGCAACAGCTCTCAGAGTAACATGACATTTGTCCAAGGATTTAACTGAGGTTGTTAAAAATGCATCTGAATGTAACCTATGGACTGTAATTGATTTTTTATTAGATAAAAAACTCTTCATCAATAAACACGTTTTCTAATGTCAGAAAGTAACACTGAATTAACTTGTTGAACTGTAGCCAGACCTGATTTTTGGCATTGTTAATCACACAATCATTCTTCTTTTTCTCATAAAGATAAGAATGTATTATATCTCACTCCTAAAGTTGTCTTTTTGCTATTATGAAATCAACTGCATTGAAAGATTTATAACTCTATACATAAAGTTCATATGGTAATACACACCAAAAAATTGCCTTAGAGATAGTTTTTAAATTTATAAACTTTGCACAGTAGCATGTTTTTCTTGATTTTTGTTTTATTTAAATGATAAAGGTATTATTAGTTTTTAAGTATAAGTTTAAATTCAGAACATATCACTTAACTGTGACTTGCCTGAGCAGTCAGATGAAGTTACTATATTTCTTTTGCTTGCACATTTTAGAGTTTTGGAGACTTCTTGAGAGTGAATTTTAAATCTGTTACATTGGATCATTCTTTTTTGAGAATTTAAAATTTTCTTTTCATATATTT